AAAACTTATTACCATTGTTATTTGGTATCTATTCACTTACCTTTACTCCACTTCCCATTAGATTTTCTTGTAACTCCATCTCTTAATTCCCCTATCACAGTTTATCATATCTCTATGTCATATGTTTGTCATATTTTTCCCTCTCTATATTAGTAATTCCCATTATTTATTAGTATATTATTTGTTTTTATTTTTTCTCTCATTATCATTCCAATTCTATTATTATTTCTTAATCATTTCTTGCATCTCAATATATAATTATTTATATGTTTACAACTTTTTTTTTTCTCTTCTCCATGCTCTATATATATTAGAAATGTTTTATGTCAACAAATAAAAGATGTAGTTTCTTAGTATTATTATCTTGGTACATTTTTACTATTCACTCTCCTTTTTATTGCTTTTCTTAAGTTTCATCTTTTAGCTTACTCCTAATATTGTATCATTATATATCTTTTTACCTTATACTTGCATTCACTCTCTTTCCATATTAATAATTTATGTGTTGTTATTCTTTTACTACCTTTATCTTTCCTTTTATATTATTTTATTAACAAATTTTTTTGTTCTATATTATTCTTTTTTAGTCACTTTTTGTATCTTTATTTTTTATTATATTTTTTTAATCCTAATTTCCTTCTTTCTCTCATTCTTCATATTAGAAATGTTTTAAACCGAAACATAAATAGCACAACTTCTCAATATTATTTTCTATTCTTTTTCACTTACCTCTATGTATCAAGGATTAAAGTTTGTTAAGACTATTGTCATCATAATCCTTCTTTTAGTTTCTTTTTTCCTTTTCACTTTTTTCCTCTTTTTGATAAGAGAAATTTAGTACTAATAGATCGACAAAAGGTTTAACAAACTTTAATACAAAATTTACTAACTTTATTTTATTGTACTTGATAGATTGAATTCTTATACATAATATGATACTATTTTATCTTCGATTTTATTAATATTTGAATGAATTTAATATAATTTTATTAAATTTTATGCTATTTTCGTTATTTGTGTAGGATAGAACTTAATTTTTAAGAATCATAAAGTTAGAACTAAATCATAATTAATGTTTCGCAAAGTCAAAGGATGAATAAAATGGCAAGATTGAGAAGCAAATTGTAGAATTATGAAATCTAAGGACTAAAGTACAAAATTTTTAAAAAGTTGAGGACCAACTCTGTAGTTTTACCTCCTCCTCCTCCTCCTCTTCTTTCTTTCTTTTTTTTTTTTTTTTAAGGAAGGTCAACTCAACCTCTGTAATAAGAAAGTGTGAATAAATTAATAAAAAAAAATTTTATTAAAGTTGGAATGTAATATTATACATATTAGATATGAATAAAAGTATTTTTAAAAATATTTATTAAGTATTTATTAAAATAATTTTTAAACTCATATTGAGTATTTATTGAAGATTTTTTTGAAAGTTTAATAAGTATTTTTTTAAGATTTAAAAAAAATATTATTATTACAATAATTTTATATATAGTTAACAATAAAATATTTCAAACATCATATTTGTGTTTTGTCTTGATTTTTAGGAGAATAAAAATAATATATAACATCATATGATATAATAATTTTACAATTATAATAGTGTTATTTAATAATTTATTTATAATGTTATATATATAAAATTAGTGCATATCAATTTTAATTTTCAAAAAAAATTAAAGTTTTAATTTATATTTAGAAATTGAACTTTCAATTTAAGATTTAAAAATCTAATCAATTTTTAAATTTAGATATAATATCAATATTTAATAAGATAA